TACACAAGAACGGGTCCGCGCCACCCGAGAATACAGTACTCCACACTCCAGCCCATTGCCACGTGGGTACACGCTATTCCCGCTATCTCTCCACTCCCAGTGCGCGAGTAGCCATTCTCGTAATAGAATAGCCAAGTTAAGGCTTACCGGAGTATGTGGTTAGTACTACAAATTCTCAACTCACACACAGTCAACAACAGACGGACCTTAATCGACACAAAGGAAAGAACCCGCTCACAAGACCTCCATGTCTTGTGGCTCACACACCGAGTCCGCCGGTCTAGATTTATTACTTCACATGCTCATATTTCATGATAACATAAGTAACCAAAGTTCCATATAAAACTCGCAGTGATGGTAATCACCCGACTTTTATTATCTAAGCATGACTAAGCATAACTAGCCATATACTAATTAAAATGGTTAACAAGGTAGATAAGGAAAACGAGGTTGGTAATGCATCAATTAGGTTTCCACTTGACTTCTAATCACTTAATGCAAGATTGAAAAGCAAAAGCGAAATCAATTTGTAAAACACAAGGTAGGTTTAAATGCATCCGGCTTGCCTTCGTTGACGGAAAAAGTCCGATTCGTGAGTCGGTCCACGCTTATCCAACCCGACCTCAACCGACGGATTAACCTCCTCAACCGCTTGATTAACCACTACTGAGTTCACCTTCGTTCACTACACGTAGTAATAATACTATGCTTAACATGATGCGAGATACAAAATATGATGCTCGATGATGGATGCAAAAGTTAGCAACTTGAATACAACTTTCCTTCACGGTACAGTTACAAACTAATCTAACTAAATCATTTCGTAATACACACATCAATTGCCAAAGATCATTATCCACTAATGACCCAAGAACATCACCCAATCAAAAATTCAATCAAAACCTAAATCATTAAAGGTTACTATTTGCTTTTATGAATTAATTAATTAATTAAGAATTATGAAATAAATCAACTTATTCCAATTGGGCTGAATTTTTTTTTAAATGTTCATTACATGATAACTAAGTGGCAAAACAATTTTCATAATTTTTGGATAATTAATTAAGCCTAGAAAAATCATGGAAAGTCATTTATTAATTAATTGAGCAATTTTATCATACCCAAAAATACTTAAAATCAATATTTCAAATTTTTGTCACATAATATACATCACAAAGAAGTCACACAAAAATTTTCATAATGTTTGGAGCTCTAAATAAATTTACACAAAAATAACAAATTCCAGCACTATTCATATAAATCGAAAAAAGAAAACTCATTTTGAATGAGTCAACCGACATCGGACCCACATGTCATCTTCAACCTTCGCAGCGTTGACTACGACGACGACGGCGCTGACCGGCGCAAACTCGCCGACGGTGAATCCAAAGGCGACGGTCAAGGTACCAAAATGACCACATCATCACTACGGCGATCGATTGAAGGCACTAGCTAGAGGCGAATTACTACGAGCTACGAGCTTGGCATCGGCCATGGCGGACGCGGCGGTTTCGGCGGCACTACGCGGCGGCAGGAGAGCTCAGTAGCGATTAAATAAACGGTACAGAAGCACCAGTAGCTCACCACGAACACGACGGAGCAGAGAGCAAGGTCGAGAAGCGGCAGAGACGCTGGTCGACGACACAAAGAACGGCCCGGCGGAGCAAGGATCGTCGGTGATGGTGTGCCGTGATCGTGGTGATCAAAATGAGCAAGCAACAACGGATTAAGCATCACAAGATCGAGACGAAGCCGGAGCTACGCTAATCGAAGCAACGGCTCACCGGAGGGCCTCGACCACGGTGAAACGGGATCACCAAGTCATTGTTTACCGCCAAGAAGAAGAAATGCTACGCTGGCGTTTCCGCGAAATCGAGACTAAATTGAGGGGTTAATGGACGCCAGCAAGGAGTAGGCGGAGCTGGAGCTAGCTTATCGGCGATGGCGAACACACAGTGGACGGCACGGCTCACGGAGATGAGCAAGGTGACGGAAGAAAGCAGAGCAAAGGAAAAGAAGAACGGCGACGACTCCAGAGCTTTATAGGGCAGCCAAGGAAGCAAAGGAAGCCACGACGAAGCCTTTCAGCGCTAAGCGACGCCTTGGGACGGCCACGCTGCGCTGACTGGAAGCAAATCAAGTTCGCCAAGCATGTAGCAAGAGCGGTGAACACTGTTCATCAATATTACGTAATTGCCATTCTCCAAAATTCACAAATTACTCTCAAAATTTCATAACAACTCAAAATCTCCAAAAACAAAAGTTGTTCAAAATCAAAAGTTCTACAACTTTGCTTTTGAAACCATATCCAAATTCATTTTACATTTTGAAATTCAAATTTGAATTCAAAAGGGGACACTTTAAAGAATTATGCCTTTTCAAATTACTTCAAATTTTACTAAACAACTTTGAAAACTCCAAACACCAACTTTGTACAACTTGACAAGATCTACACTTTTGCTTTTAAGCTCAACCCCAAAATATGCTTAGATTTTGAAATGAGTTTTTAGGGTAGAATTTAAATCTTTGAAATTAAGGTTTTGAATTTCAAAACAATACTGGTATTTCAAACTTGATTCAAACAATACAATTCAACACTTATACATGAATGTAAACTTGTTTTAGTGAATGCATATCAACGTTTGCAATATGACCAAATACTTTGCAATGCATATGATGACATGACAGTTTTAGTATTTAAAACACCCGGGGTGTTACAATCTTATGCTTGTGCATTAAGTTTATGGAGTTGAATGAAACCCACTTGCATATATATATCCTTATCCCATGAGTCTTACTAGTATGATAGAATCGTGTAGATTGCTATGCTACAGGACTCCGGTAGAAGTCGAGTGATTGCCTTTCACTCGCGAGAGATAGAAAAGAAATTATTGTTGTTGTTATATTACTATCACATAGAAAATATATGAATGATAATTGGAGACCGGGCAAAATGGTACTTGGATCTGGACTTGGTTTGGCATTCGAGCGAGGCTCGGATTGCGCTTATTTTGCATGTGTCGTTTAAGTACCGTCTATTGCATTGGATTTTAGTCAGGTCACAGACTTATTTTCCTAAGCACATACTTATTTATGGGAGCAGGAAAGACTAGTTGCTCTCTTGTCGTGGGTTCCGGCTCTTTCCGGACCGACTGATTGGAGGCGGGATGGTGGAGGTCTAAGCACCACACTGAGTCAGGGATTCAGGTGTGGGGGCTTGGAGTCCAAGTTTGGACGGGGACCTAGACCCCTTGACAGGAGAGTGGTGGGTTGGTCCTACTTGTTCCCGGGGTACAAGCGGGGCGTGTGTTTCTGGGTACCCAGCTAGGCACATTGATTCACGAATCGCCGCGTAATCTGGTACAACTTGTCTACGATCTAGCACCGTAGTAAGAACTGAAATATGAAAGATGATAAAATGGTCTGATTGTTTACCACCTGCTTGAAAGTAGCACATGTGCTTATACATAATGCTTAGTTAATGAACTAATGGTGACCGCTAATGAAATTGAATATAAGGACGTACTTTTAGTAATGTTTCCTGCAGATGCAATAACCCACGAGTCAGATAGCCTTACATATCCTTGGAGTCTTTTCTTTCCTCCTGACGGGTAAGCCTTGCAGAGTACAATTGAGTACTCAGAATTTGTTCTACCCTGTTGCAGTGACAGGAATATGTGGAGCTGATACTTGTGTGTGGAAGCTTCTGGTGGGTTCAGCGAGGATTTCCTTAACGTTGTGGACATAGAGTTTATTTGAAACTTTCACCCAAAATATTTTTACAATGGAAAAAATTATAACCTATTGTGTGGTATATAACGGATCATCATGTTAATGTTTATCTTGTCATTAAATGATTTTATATCCACTGAAACTCTGATAACATGATTATATTCCGTTGTTATAAACAATAAATATTATACTCTGATGTTGCATGAAAAGTGATGTAAGAAATGGCTAAAATGTTGTAAGTTTTATTCTCCCATTTATGATCCTGTTGAAAAATGTGGATTTTCGGTTTCTTCCATGGGGTGTGCTCGACGAAACTGCATGATGTGGCTCACTTTCGGAGTGCTTAGTGTCTAGTGGAAGACAAGCGTCTCCGTAAGTGTATTATTTCGAGCGGTTCTGCCACATGTAGCACCACATTGTTAAATCATGGACTAATTAGATTTAAAAAAATCGTCTGGCAAATTAGTCGCAATCTGTACAATTAATTATTTTTAGTGTATATTTAATACTCCGTGCATATATCCAAATATCCGATATGATAAGGACTAAACTTTAGAGGAAAAACTAAACAAAGCCTGATATCAGATGCAACCATAAAACATGTCTCCAAGTCTCTAGAAAAATGCACAAAGTTCCCGTTTCTATAGACATATGTTCAACTTCCACCGAGTTGTTGGTAGTACAATGATGGAACAATTTGGTCGACATAGACTTCGTGTATGGCTGCAAAACATTTTTTTAATGTCTGTCTTAATGGAGAGTTTCACGACACAGTTAGTTATCAAGACTGTCATATTATATTTTGATTTTGTGTTGGTAACTATGACAAATAATTTTATCTAGATGAAACTCTCTCTCTCTTTTCATAACTAATCTGTCAACTCAGCAGCATTAAATGAGAATGAAATTTCTTTAAAACGTCAATTGAGACTGGCCTTTAAAATTAACACGTAGAAACGCACCTCACTTCACATAGTCGCATGTTGTTGCTTGTTGGTTGTTCTGCAATTTTCTATCGCTCATCTGCTTACTGAATCCCTTCTTTTCCTTTCCGATGAGTGTGCTTCCCTAAGCCTCAGTACATGGAGGTAGCTTACTCTCTGCAGAGCGGGACCCACATGTCAGTCATTGTGGCCGTTGCTAATTGAATGGGCTTGATTGAAGAAAAACGATGAGCTATTTCGGCCTAATACGGCCCATAACTTCTTCCCCTATCCAATGCAACGAATCAGCCGCAACGAGTCCAACGACCGCCGAATCGCCTCGCCATGACGAACGCGGTGGCAGTGGAGCCGGCGCCGCTCGTGCGGGCCCGCGCCTGCACGGCTGCCGCCTCCTTCCCGCCCCCGCGCCGACGAAGAGCTGCTGGAGCTATCAGGGCGTCTCCCGCATCCGGCCGGACCGAGGGCGCCGGCGAGCTCCCCGCCCCGCTCCAGCCGAACGCGCGGCGGCGGGGACGTGACCCGCTCTGGCACGGCGGCGGGTTCATCCTCGGCGTCGACCTCGGTGACGCCCGCACCGGCCTCGCCATCGGGAGGGGAATCACCCTCCCTCGACCCCTCACTGTACGCACCTCTCGCACTTCAGTTCCACCGCCCAAAGCCAACCTCACCAAATTGAGGCACAGTTGGAAATGACGCCAGGTTCTGAAGCTCCGTGGGCAGAAGCTAGAGCTTACGCTGCTCGACATGACTCGGCAGCAGGTGAAGTTTCGGTTGGCTTCTTCTCTTCTGCTCTGTGCTGACATTTCAACACTAAATGCGATGGTAATGCGATGGTGGTTCTGGTGTCCTGAACACGGGCGCTTTGCGACTCGAGATTGCAGGAGGCGGACGAGCTCATCATCGGGCTTCCCGTATCCGCTGATGGGAGGGAGACACCGCAGTCCAACAAAGTGCGGAGCGTCGTCGGGAGGCTCGCCGTCAAAGCGGCCCAAAGGTGCGTCGCATGCCTGTACTTGTAAATTTGGATCGCTTCGGTGAGCTAGGCTAGGAGCCGGGTGCTCAGCAGACTCATCGAGACCTCTGAATTGCGTGCGTTGCTTCAATGTGTGGTGTGAATTGTGTGATGATTGTTGCGTAACTCAGTGGATTTGTTTTCACGGCAGCAGGGGCTTGAGGGTATATCTGCAGGATGAATATGGAACGTCCACGGACGCCCTAGATTACATGATCTCCAGGTGAATCTTGGTTTTGTTTGGATCCTGCAAAAATTAGCATACTAAATCTTACTCCCTCCGTAAATTATAAGTAGCTTTGACTTTTTTTTTACATCTATTTTGTTATGCATCTAGTTAAATAATACGTTTAGATACATAGTAAAATAGATGAACCAAAAAATTAAAGCGACTTATAATTTGAAACGGAGGGAGAAGCATTTGCCAGCAACATGCACCTCGCTAATTTTGCTAGTAGCTAGCACATCTGGGCATGTTTGGAATTTGGATCCAGGCTTGCCAAATTTTAGTTGCTACTACTAGCTATCCTGTTCACGGCGAACTGGTGTTGATTCGATAGTTTTCATATCACTGTTGCTGCAACACTTTATAGCTGGACCTTGCTGATCTGACCATTTAGTATTTACAATACTGCTGCATCCTATCAATGCAGAAGCTCAAGAATGCAAATTTGTTCCTGCACATCGCTGACTATTAAATCGTGTCAAACTGTTAGTTTGAGAAGAATCACTGAGAAACTTGCCTGATTATATACCTCAATTTTCAGGGGTATCAAGAAGTCTACCCGTGATACCAAATCTGATGCGTATGCTGCTGTGGTATTTGATGCTACCTTAGTATATGTTTCTTAAAAAAAAGGACGTACCCAGTGCAGAGAGCTCCTGCTCTGTGCGGGGTCTGGAGAAGGATGTTAGTGGCAAGCCTTACCCTTAGTATATGTTTCTACTTAGTATTTATTTACTCATGTTTCTGATTGCTTCTGGCTAAAGTTACAGCTGATTACTTTTGTTGTAGATGATTTTGAAGAGATATTTGATGTCATCAGGTCAAGGGGCTAAGATTGTTCTTCCCAGGCAACCAGAATTACAGGACAAGTTAATAGTTCAGTCTAGGCAAGATGCTGAAATTTAGAAAGGCATGTCTTCTTTTTCTCCATCAGTAGAGAACATGTCCAGTTGAGAGCACCTCATTTTCTATTCCATCTCATCCGCTGTGATGTAGATGATTGTTTGAGGTACTCTGATTGCAAATTGAGTATCGTCCCAAAACAAAATTTAGAGTACTGCATCCCAAGCTGTTATTGTACTGCATCAAAATCACAATCAGGACCATTGTTGCATTTCGTGATTTTATTTTTCTGGGTAGGATAAAGAAGCAATTTAGAGTTTAAAATTTGTATCAAAATATAAGATGTTCCGGATCCTCAATCTTCTCTCCTCTGTTTTTGGCAAGAAATATTGAGATTACTTTTAAACTGGCGTCATTAAAACAACCAATCAGTAATTAAGGAAATTAACAATTGAACTACTCCCTCCGTTCTATTTACTGAGGGGTAAGATGGTCTTTTGTCAAGCTCTTTATTTTGTCCAAAATTCGCTTAGATATTGCTTCCGTTCGCTGGTCTGGGCTGAAGAAACCAGCCGGCTGGTTTCCCTCTGAGATCACTGTTCATCAAACTAGCCAACAATATTTCTCTCTCACACAACCAGTCAGTTTCAGTAAAGATTCTGCCAGCCGAACGGGGCCATACTTCCGGACAGAGTAGCTCTGTTGAGCAAATCTGTGACATACTGCTAGCTTGTTTACCGTATATAGCACTTATTAATCGGATCGTGTATTTACATAGTTTCCACCATGGAGACTGCAAAAAGGAATTTGTTCAGAAATAGTTTGGACGATCCAAGTTGGCAAGAAATAAGGTACTTTGCAACAATCCCCTGTCCAGTTCCATGCAGCAAATATGCTTTTTTTTTCTTCCAATTCAGTACAACTGGCCTACTTTCCTGTATCTGCATCAATCATGGTTGCTGCAGGCAATGTTTATACATTACTACGAGTACACACTGGAATGCCTGAGCGGAAACCACCAGAATCAATCGAGAATTAACTGATCTGAATCAGCTGTTCATATGGTGACGAAGCATCTCAAATCTGTGCATAAAAGAATCAGAACAGCTTGCTGAATTCAGTCTCCTGTGTTGGTTCACCAATTCGGGGGAAGAATGGATCCCTCTCCAGCATCGTCTGCAGTGAGTCCATCATCCTCACCATGGATGCCCACAAGAATGGCGCCGAGCAAAATCCATATCCAAAGACTGCCAGAGCCCTCACAACACCATCAGGGTACCATGGGAATGCCATAACGATGAGCATGCCCACAATCGCGAGCCACGTTGTAAGCACGTCAAGTGGTGGGAGCAGAAAAACATTGATAACGAGCACTGACAAGGCAAGCGCACCAAATAGGTAGATAGACCAGCCCATGATCGGGTGAACTGTGCGTGGGATCACAAAGAATGGAACGGAATATGCAGCCACCACAGCCACAATTGCAGCCAGCTTGATCAGCCACTGCACCAGAGCACTTAGCTTCTCAGGACGTCGGTTATAGCACAGTTTGGTCATCCCTGGCCTTGCCAATCTGGTGACTGTTATGATAACTATGTACATTAAAACCTCCATCAGTATCACTGGCATTTCAGCAGCATACCTGTGAAATGTAAGCAGGTACTTGTTAAGTGGATATAACAGAAAATGAATTATGTCTGCTCAGGTACATAATTTGCTTCTGTGTTGCTTTATTGACTCACCCAAGATCGTCCCAGCGCTGCTTGTGCCAGGAAAGTCCTAGTGGCAAGACCGGCCAGGACCACCAGTACCAAGGTTTAAACCAAGGTGCGCTGGGGAATGTGATAACACTGTTTGGCCCACACGGGACATGCCAATGTAGCTTGAGATCTGTAATGTTCAATCAAAGGATGGTTGAAATTTTCAGAAGCAATAGCCACAAGCATTGGTATTGAAGCTGTGTAGCTGCAGCACTCACAGTAGTAGGATGCATCCATTTGATAGCCAAGAGGAAGGCGATAGGTCCCATTGAGCTTCGTGCCATTCTCAGGAGGGTGAAACATTGGTTTGTCGAGCAAGTCTGGGTAGCACCCAATCAAAAAGCCTTGGTCAGCACCATCAGAGTTTTCACGGCCAGTCTCTAGGTCATGAAGCATGCCCTTGAATACATCAATAGAAGGCTGCAGATTGAAGAATCCAATATTAGTCTAGTTGGCCATTACATGTCTGAGTACAACATATCTCAGTGTGTGAGTTTAACAAGAATCAATTTATGGATGGTGGGCATTTTCTTTTCTATGCATCATTCATACTGGCAGAAGACGTATACTTCATCTTTGGGGGTATGCATGCTCAAATTCTATTAGTTTGTAATTTGTGCCATTATTAACACAGCTGTATATGCAGGGAGACTGTTTCAATTTATGATACATATTGTTACTAGACTAAAGAGGTTTTGTATGACATAGCTAAGTCAACAAGCCCTCACGATTTCAAGCAAAATGACACAAATTCTGGTTGTATCGGACAGGTCACAAGTGGAACAACAAAAGTTCAGGACATACCTGGAGCACGAAAAGACCAGTGTGGAAGTAGCACGGGTTGATGAAAACAGCACAGAACTGTCCACATTGGAATAGCTCGTCTGTGTTCTGGAGGAAGATGTTATCGGAATCAATCATGACGACACGCTCATAGTCCACCAGGGTCCACGCATAAAGCTTGTTCAGTGTCAGCTTGAACCTCTTGTTGATCCCTCCTAGGTTGCCCTCGTAAGGATTCCTGAGGTTCTCCACTATCACCACCCTCAAGCCATCCTCTTCTGTCCTGCATAAGTCCCCATGTATTGTCAAAAGGTGCTCATTTCATTTCACATTCTGCAGTAAAAAACTCGTAGTTCATGAAATAAGTATTCCAATGGAAATAAAACAAGCAGAAAAATGTTTTGTTGACCGTCGTGAAATGATCAAGCCATGTCTTCGGGAGATTCACCGATCGCTATTAATCATTTGGGACTGACATTGAGACCACCAATGAAAAGAGATTCACCAATCGCTGTTAATCATTTGGGACTGACATTGTGACCACCAATGAAAGACACAAGTATTAGCTATGAACCTGGTCAGACAAACTACGGAAAACATTTATTTTACTACAAAAGAAAATCCACTGTGCAATCACTATTTAAAGAAAAAGGAAAGTTGACCAGTGCAATTGGATAGCAGACAATTAAAAAGTACAGGTTGCAACCAGCGACAGGAGGCCAATAGTCAAAGCTTCAGAGCTGGTGCATCCATGACAGCACATACTCCCTCCGTCCCATTGAGTTTGTCGCTCGGGAACCGGGATTGTGAGGGGGGCACGGTTTTCTAACGACAAACTTAATGGGACGGAGGGAGTATAACGGCAAAATAAGCATTGCAGATGCAGTGCATATGTCTCCATGTGAATGGCCGAAGTTACCCCCACAAGAATTAAAAAACAAAGGCAACCAGGAGAAGCTTCCTCTCTGCAGGTGGGTCCCTGCTCCACTTCCCAAACCTGCGAATCATCGTGCTCCTGGTACCCGAAGCACGTCACCCCCTTCCTAGTCTCGGCCTTGAGGCTGTGTTTAGTTCGTGAATTTTGGGAATTTGGCTATGATAGCATTTTTGTTTTTATTTGGTAATTAGTGTTCAATCATGGACTAATTATGCTTAAAACGTTCATTTCGTAATTTTCAACTAAACTGTGCAATTAGTTTTTTTTAATCTACATTTAATGCTCCATGCACGTATCGTAGGATTCGATGTAATAGCTACCGCGGCACTTTTTGGAAAACTTTTTTTTTAAACTAAACAGCCCTCAGTTTCTATACTGTAGTTTGTGCCGCAGGGAGAGCGACGCGGGTTTGCAGTGCGTAATAAAAATTCGAATTAATTACTGCTAAAAAATGGCATGGAAAGTTTTCCTAGGAATGGCATCAAAATCTGGATTCGCTATTGGTTGATGATCAAGTAGTGCCCCTAGGGGAGTCGAAGTCGAACAACGAAGACGCGTCGGAGGAGCGGAAGAAGGAGGAGCGGGCGGCGGAGGCAGCAGCACTCACATTGCGCGGACCCAGTCGCGCGGCACGTCGGCGGAGGCGATGAGGACGCGGTCGGCGTCGGCGCGGACACGGGTGAGGGAGCGCATCATGACGCGCACGGCGACGTAGAACTCGTAGTCCCGCGGCGTGCCCATGTACATCATGGCGGCGTACGCGTGGCGGTGCCGCGGCGGCGGGCCCTCCACCCGCGCCGCCAGGCCCCGCTCCTCGCGCGCCGCCGCCGCGGTCACCGCGAGCAGCAGCAGCAGCAGCAGCGACGCCGTCGCGCTGGCGACCGGAGGCAGCCCCGCCATCGCCGCCGTTCCCGCGGTCCCACTTCCCCTCGAGCGCGCGTGAGGCGAGGGTCCGTCGCCTCAGCCGGCCGTTGGCTAGCCTGGTGATCAGCGAACTAATAGGCGCGCCGCGCGGCGCCGGGGCCCGGTGGTCGCTTGCGAGGCGCTGCTGGCCTATTTGCCTTGCTCGGCAGTCGGCACCCGCTGGGTATGTACTGTACGCCCCCGGATGGTGTTTTGGGGGGAGGAGAGATGAGGGGGAAGATGCTTGGATTGGATGCCTCGGCTCGATGCTTCTGGTTGGCAAAAGCAAGAGACGAACAGGGGAGAGAGAGAGAGAGAGAGCGAGGGACTAGGAGGGAGGTCAGCAGAGGGGAGGGAGGGGAAACGGGGCGGCCTGCGTTTATTTATGAGTTCTCGGAGAGACACCTGCCCTGCCTTCTGCCGGAGTAGCAGATGCGCTGGTACGCTCCGGTACGCCCACCTGGTACGTATCTGACACGCGGGACCGAGTCTCCGGTTGGCCCCGCCGTCCAGCGACGGCGACGGTTCGGCTACGCGCTACGCGCTACGCGCTACGCGTCGGGTGGCCGCGAGCGCAAAAGGCAACAACGCCTCCTTGTAGGAGAACTGTCAATCAGCCAGTGGCCGACGGGGGAGGGGGAGGGAGAGGGAGACGACTGGGCGGTGCGCTGCGGACTCCGGTGTGGGTTGGTGGGACGGCCGGGATGGACCGGACCCGTTCTACACGCGCTCGACGACTCTTGCGTGTTTGGATGAAGACCTGGCCTTGGCACCCGCCCAGGCAGGTCGATCCAGCCCCAGCGCCGGAAATTGACGGCCTGGGTGAGGTGCCGGGGCCAGGCAAGATTCCCAATCTTTAAAGCAAACAACGCGAGCCTCCAACAGGCCAGGGAAGGGATGGATGGCTGGCTGGCCGATTGATGAATGGGCGCACTTATTTTTCCTCCGAGAAGACAACCAGATTTTTGGCCTCGTTCGCATGTCCTTAAACCCAGCTTGATCCGCTTCTTTTTTTATTCGGAACAGTATTTTTCTCTCACATATTCGTTCAGCATTTCTCCAAATCATTCAAATTCCTCCCAACGAACAGACCCTTTTACGCCTCGGATTGGTTATTTGGTGTACTAGTAGAGGCGAGGCCGGCTGGAGTAGATGGTGTTCACGTAGCTGGACTTCAGCATTTGTCGTTCCGATTTTGGCAACTGAAGGTCCCGTGGGCTTTCATTTCATCCGTGGTGCTGGTAATAAACAGCCCTGGGATAGGGAGGGAGTGAGGGACGCATCAGCACGGCTACGGCTAACGTGTCATCCAGCCGGATGCGGACGTGTCACGTGTGGTCCTTCCGCCGTTGCAAACTCCCTGACCTTATTACTACCGGCACCTGACGTGATCAAACCTAGCTCCGTCTGTTTCATCTCCTGTGTCTCATCCAAGCCGCCGGACGGTTAGCAACATGGATCCAGGACGAACATGTTTGGACCATCACTCCATCAGCTTCAACCTTGAAAGGGACAAGAAAAAGAAAATGACCCCCCGGACGTGTTTGGACCTGACCGTCAGACCCCTAGGTCGAGCTCGGCTGCTCGGGTCTACTCCCTCCGTCAAAAAGAATATAAAAATCTTGTTTTTTTTTCAAGAAATCAAACAATCCCAACCGAGAGTTAAGTAGTTCCTAGTTGCTAGTACGAGTACTATAAATCTCGTTTTTTCAAGAAATAAAACAATCTCAAACCAGAGTTATGGAGTTCCTAGCATGTAACTCCATATAGCTTCTAGAATCCGTGCGTTGAGAGCGATCTGGTTACTGTTTTCTTACTATTCACCAATCGTATGCAGCAACGTGGACTCGTGCGTGTGTAATCCTCGATTTGGTCTCGCTTCGTTTAATTGGGCGGGCCCTCCTGCTGACCCTCGCTCTCTCCGTCCGTCAAAGTAAAAAGAATTCCTCACCCGGACTCGGCGTCGCTGCGCTTTTCCGTCCGTGCTTCTTCTTCCTCTTCTCTCTCCCTACTTGGGCGGGCGGCCGGAGATGCGGCGTCCTTCTTTGATGGAGGCTGACGCGTGGGACGCGCCAGGCGCCTCTTCCTCTCCCTGGCGGTGGCGGGCGGCCAGCCTTGCTAACGGTTTGCTGCCGGACCAGCCGAGGAGCAGCTTCCCACCCCGAGCTTGCAACCATGGTGAGCGATGCCACCCATCTGTTCCTCCCTTCTTGTTTAGCGCTCCCTCGCTGCAGGCAGATGCGGATCTGGACGACGCCATTGCTTTTTTGCTTGGCCGGCGAGCTCACCGCTCTTTCGTCCTTTGCTCTGTTCTTCAATTCCATATAACACGCCTCGGTGGATCTACAAATTTTTTTGGGTCCCACGACTATGAAGGTTGCCTCATGGCCTCCTATCCCACGACCTTCCGCAGAGTCGGTCGCCCATTACCCTGCGTATGTTTCCTTCGACCATGGCGACCTCCGTCCACGAGCACTCCGCCGCCACGACCTCGAGACCTCCACGAACCACACGCTTACCTACAACGAGAGCACGAACCGGCGCGCCGGCCTTGGCCACGTCCTCTCTCGAGAACCCTCGCCATTTGGTATGTGCTCTCGAACAACCAAAGAATCATGGAATTAGATAAGGATAATCAACGTGGAATGACTCAGTCATGTGAGGATTAGTTAGCATCCTTGGTGATACCAGCACGTGCAGTGGATTTTAGTAGATTTCTTCCAGAAATTTATCCATGGAATGCTATTGTCTCCTTTCTTTTCATTCAGCGACCAAGATTAGAATGGATTTTTCAAGGTGCTACAAACATGTCTCTTTTAGGATTGCTGCTCGCCTGCTCCTGGTCCTACTATTCACCCAATGAGGCCTCCCGGTCCTCTCCAAGAAGGTGACCTTATCTGATAGGCTATTATAACCTTATTGTTAGGTCAAACATTCATCTTAATATGGAGATTTGTCAATAACCTCGGTCCAATAATATTTTGCTTCAGTAGGATCTACTGAATGGAATGGAATGCGTGGCCTAAAATCGTGGCTCACTTTTTTTTTGTTCCATATTTTGCATCCTGTCTTTAGCATAATTCATTATCATTGCCATTTTTATGCAAAGACGCTACTATGGCTTGCTTTGTGTAAATAACTAATCTGCATTACTAATGGAGGATGCAGCGTGTGTACATGACCACAAAATCACATAAACGAAAGATCAGGACTTAGGTTAGGTTCTCGCGTGTCATTTTGCATGGAAGGAATTGACGGCTTGATTTCTCCTTTCAGGTTTAATCGCAGAGAGGTCAGCACAAATCTCAGAGATGGAAATGCTGGCAAATGTAAATTCAGTTCTGACATTGAACTAGAAAATTTATGTTCAGGATGCATGACTTTTTTTTATCATGAACTTGTGGTTCGGTTTAGCCTCATATTCCCAGGTTCCATCACCTAGATTGGCTTTATGAAGCCTGGATTGAACACTAAAACTGACAATATATGTCATGTTCAAGCAATGTTACGTGCCAATGGCGTTGCAGTCAAGGAAAACTCCATTTGCGGAGTGTCAGAACGATTTCATGTGAGTAGTTGCAGCACCATCTCTTCATGGTTGTATGGAGGGACCCTGATTTCAATGTCTTTGGTCTCAAGGTTCAAACATGGTGTCCCTGTTGGTCTGTGCATATTTTGAGTTCATACCAAACATTGCTAACCGATTCTTTTGCAGGACCCAATGGCCCAACGAATTGCTATGTCGATGCTGAGTTTTCTATATACTCCTTCATATGGTTAGGCCCTTTCACTTCTTAAGTTCGTGCTATGAATTTTAGTATTTTTTGTGTGTTAAGGTTGTGATAGAGTCCCAACTGCATGCGGTCCTAATAAATTGGTGGATGAACCAAGCGTGAAACATCAAAGCAAAAAATAAAAATAAAAATACTTAGGTGTGCACGAGGATTACATTGAAAAGTATGTTTCCAAGCATAGGTCCATAATCCTATCACCATGTCTAAACTGATTTACATGACAACACCGGTACAATGTCTCATATAGTACATGAATTATATGCAAAACTTACTGCAACTTAGCTTCATCATGTCACCATGTTCATTTCAGTACTCGCCGGTAATCTCATATTTTTAATATTGATCTATCCTTACGTACGGAGAAATGGTATGTGCCATTATTTTTTGATGGTGCAGTACGTTGTTTACTTGCTATTAATATTTTTAGGATTTACCCGTATCCAACTATCTAACAGTGAAGGATATAAATTCTTACAGCCTTACAGGTTTTCAGATGAATCATCTTTTGCAGACTATAACAAATACCCATGAGGCTACGACGGTCGTGTCGTCACTAGGTACTAAGCTGAACAACACTTGGAACTGATGAAGATCACTACTTTTCGTCTTTGTCCTACAAGCATGTGTACTGCTTTTGTTTTCCCTTCCCATTTTAGCTTTAGTCGGTGCTTCCGTGGAGGCTTCCAGTTGTTCAGTGTCCATAGCTAACAGACCTCGAGATTGCTGAATTCTATATATAATGATACTCCTGTTAGCGAGTAAAAACAATATACAAAGGAGCTGCTCATAGAGCACGCGGTTAAGCCCCAAGGGTGGGAGTTGGCCCGGCAGGGATCGATCCCTGATTCCTACAATGGCTTTCAAAGAAGGCTGGGTCAAGTGGTCCTTTCAAAAATAAAAGTAAAAACAATATATCTGATCAAGTTTGGTGATTTATCATTGATTCAAAAATCAATGGATATATGTTTGGTGCTAATTCTTCAACATTTTCTGCAACGAACAGGTTAAGGATCGATCTTACAGTTGGGAGGTATACATTTTGCATACTGATCAAACTGCAGTACAATTTTTTTTTTAAAAAACATACAAGATCTTAATTAAGTTAGATGGGTAGAAAGCGGGATGCAAATTGAAAGCAAATTTAACTGAAACAATTTTTCTTCTTTTGTAATTTTGGTTCTTATAGAGTTTTATTGTACACAA